CACTAACATTGTACAAATGTAAATATCCATGAGAATATTATAATGTCGTTATAGAACGGACGATAAAGACTGTTGGCACTTGTTTGCTTGCAGACGCGAAAAGAAAAAAGAGAATTTCAAACCACTCTATGTAAGAAATTATTAATAACATACAGAGGTTAAACTAGGCCCAAATAAAACTAGTAAGCACAACATAAGCGTCAAAAAACCATACCTCCAACATCTTAGGTGTCATCCATTTTAAAGCATACAAGAAAGTTGAATTTACAGTCGCCCTTTAAAGAACGCCATCCCTGGCCTGTTTCTATCTAGGCCTAGTTTAGGCCTAAATGTCGGTTACCTTATTATAGGGCCTAAATAGGTTTACCGCGACATAACTGCCCATTGAGTTGGGTTAAAATAACACGGGTACTGCCGTATTTGTTTTTAGGCCTACATTGTTTATGCAGTTTTGTTTTTGTTATAAACAATACAGAGTATAATTCAATGATTGTGATGTCTACATAGCCCTCCCCACCTCCACCTATACGCCGTTCGCACTTTCCACAATTGTCTAAAGTTTTAGATACATAAGTTGATGATTTCTTATATTCTTACGATAAATCTGTCTTGACGCCAACGAAATAACAAGCTAATTAATTAGGCCTAACTGTGGCATATTTTGATTTTTTTTAAAATTAAAAGTTTCGAGTTTACAATAGGGCGTAGAACGCACGACTCCTGACCCAAAAGTCCTGAGCTCTAAACCCAGGTTCATATCCAAGAACACCAAACACAGATGGGTACCTAGATCAATCTCAATATTTAAAACTACTAAAGGAAGCTAGGCATAAATCTAGAATTGACCAGAATGTCTCATTTTCTGAGAACAACTAAATATGTGAACTCAATATTCCCTTTGCTCACTAGGTCCTGATGGGCAACTAAGATATTAATCTAAGGAGTTTTAATCCAAATAACTAGATCTGGATATTCTGTAACTAAAAAAAAATTGCACCCCCCCTCAAACTTTTGATTTGCACCCCCCCTCAAACTTTCGATTTGCACCCCCACTCATACTTTTTTATATATACCGAGGGGTCTATGGGGGGGGGGGGGGGGTTATGACCCCCCCCCCCCTTCCTACGCCACTGCAATAGATAGCAAGCCGGCAGCTTAGCCGTGTGCTGGCAATCTTTGTATGGGAGTACAGGGGAAGGGGGGATCTCATGGGGCCGGCGAACAGAGGCGTAGCTAGGGGGGGGCGGGGGGGGCCGCCCCGGGCGCCGACCCTATGGGGGCGCCAAAAGGGGTGGGAAAAAAATTTTAAAGCTGATTTTATGCTGCAGTTTTGAATTATAAACTGTCTAAGTTAAGAAATGTAATGGCTACAAGCCTTTACATACTGATTTAACTGTTTTCTACCTCGACTACTAACTGTAAAACATATACTCTTAAGAAACAGTGACCGGCAAAACCGCTTTGAAGCTTTTCCTAGATGGGGGGGGGGGGGGGGGGCGCTTTTTCGAGACTTAAAACGGAAGAATTTACACTAGATTGTTGAGTCGATAAACGTTACCGCTATTAAAAGAAACCAATTGTATTAAAACGTATTGTACGATTGTTGAACTGTAAAATCCGTCAGTGACTTTTATCAAGATGGTGCAGGGGGCGCTTTTAGGCTAAATAAAATAGCAAAATTACACAGGATTCTGAGTAAACAACCTTTAGCTCTCAGAAAGAAACGAATTGTACTGTGCATTGTATAATTGTGTAACATTTTTAAAAAAAGTCAGTTACGTTAAAAACCACTCTACAAACTTTGTCCAAGATGGTTGTGATGAGTGTGTGTGGGGGGCGCTTTTTTCGCTAACAAAAATCGCAAGTATTTGTACTGGATTGGTGAGTAGATAACTCTCTTAACACTTAGTAAAGAAACCAAGTGTATTAACGCGTAATGTAAAATTTCAATAGCTAGTTTTGTTTTAAAAAAAGACGCGACTAGTTCTTTGTAAGATTTTTACGATTCTCTCAACTTCAACGTGAGAGATCAGATACTTTTGATTGATTGCATTACATCTTACCTGGATCACTGAACTATATTAAAGAGAACTAAATATCACGGATTCTTGAATCCCTAAGCCACTAACCACCACTTTTTTTCCATGCTCTTATTTCATTCTCCACTGTCTGTAATCTAGCTCCAAGCTATACAGTAAAAGAGACCACATTTAGTTATAGATCCTGATTGAATTTTTTTGACAATGCATTTGAATTCTACATTTTCTTAGAGTGTTAAAACGCGTTTTATTGCTGCTGATTATAATCAGAACGTCATGGGCTATCATTAAATTGATTGTTACTGCTTCTTCAATCAATACAATTAGTTCTGCATTTGTTGTTGACGTTGTGCGAGCAGTGTTTCTTCCAGACTTTTTTCTCCGGGGGGCACTTGAAATTTTCGAGGGGGGGGGGGCGGTAGACTTTCTTCGGGGGGCGGACGGCGGACACTGTTAAACGTATATATTTTCTATATATAAATTATATAAATTTCATTTCGTTCGAGAAGGGGGGCGGTAAAATTTTTTCGGGGGGCTTCGCCCCCCCCCCCCCCCCCCCCGAAGAGATGCCTGGAAGAAACTCTGTGTGCGATAAGGCAGGGCAAATCTGCGAAATCCAAGACTACGAGCTGTTAACATCCGTTGGATTCAGTTTGTTTTCTCTAGCTTGTTTTGTCATACCATCAACCAATCAACGAAATACCCATGTCGTATTCCAATGTGAACAATAAATATTTCTGATAACTTCTTCTTGTATGTCACTTGTGTGTCCTTACTCTAACAAACTTCGAATCCAACTATGTACCATATCACAACAGAGATCGTTCCAAAACTAGAACATAAAAGGCTGGTCTAAACATATTAGCGTTAGCTACAAACTACCCTCTAACACAGATCAGGCTTATTGTTTTTTACTGACATTACTAATCTTTAGCAAAAAAAATTAAAAGCATCTTAATGGGAATTAAATTGTCGTAAAGTTTTAAGGAATGAAAATCATACAATGTAATTATTAAACCTTGTCCGGACTGTAGCATACACCCTTACACACACGCTTACACACACAAATACACTCTTACCCACACACAAGCTTATATATAAACACACTATCACACACACATAATTATACACACACACACATGTATATATATATATATATATATATATATATATAAGCGGGGGGGGGGGCGCCAAATTGAAAGTTCGCCCCGGGCGCCGGGAAGGGTCGCTACGCCTCTGCCGGCGAATTCGATATTATTTAAAGATGTTAGTAGTGACAGAAAGGCTTTGTTTATTCTATGCCCGCCGTTCTTGGTCGGCTAGAGTAAATATAGGTCAAGAGAAATGGAAGAGGTGGGTATTCAACCAAGCGCTCATGCACATAATCGAAGAACCGCTTATAATATTTAAAGTCATTAAATAAAAAACTAAAACCACTTCAAGTGTGAATACGTGATATTGTCTTTAAAACGAGGATCTAATCAATGAAATTTCAGTTCTCATGGATGCATTTGATTTCCCCCTGCACTTATATGAAGCACGTGCTAAAGTATTGCATTATCATAGAGTTACTGCCCCTAAATTTGTTTGTTGCTCATGCCAGATATAGCAAGAGAATCTGACTAGAGATGTGACACAATGGTATGAGAGCCGATAACATTGTGTTTGAGACAGTCCTCACTTACAACTTACACTGTGCAGTAACCAAGACAGATGGGACAACAGCCACACCAACAGAGACAACTCAAGTAATGATTTGACCACTTTATTTCACCAATATTAATGTTTATTTACTCATCCGTATGTATTAAAAAATTATTGAACCAAAAAAATGTTTAACAAAGGTCAATAATCCAAACACTGAACTCCACCCTAGGAAACAGTTACTCATGAAATAAATAGGGTACACACTTTAAAACTAGTCCAACACAACCACCCAGACTCAGAATATGACTTTATCAGAGATAAAAATGCTCATGCTTTCTCATCATTCGTTTATACAATATAAATTATGCATACACAATTATAAAATGTCTAAAAACACATTGTGCATTAGATTATTTATGAGGTATCTGGATATTGTTAAAAAATTAACCTACACAAAAGTCCAGCAACAAGACAAAAATCCAGAATATTATTTTATGATAAGTACATAATGTCTATTTCATCTTATCAGCTATTTGCACACCTACGTTCACCATCAAATTTCCCGACCCATCTGCCCGACCCACATTTTTTGTCAGTCATCACAAAAATCTGCACAGCTCGAGGAAGCACAAAAGAAAAATTTATTTCCTACTTTTTAGTCCACAAGAAAAACGTGGTTTTTTAAAAAGTTTTTTTTAAGTATTTTATTTTCTCCTTTTTAGTCCGTTGCTACACATGAAAAACATGTTTTTTAAAAAAGTTTTTTATATAGTTTATTTTCTACTTTATCTAATGACTTGATTAAGTATGACTTGACTAAGTGTTTATAAATACACGGACTAAAAATCTTGAGCGACCAGGATTCGAACCTGGGTTGACAGGGCAACAACGCGAAGTACTAACCACTATACAATCACAGCCAGCGCGCTCACATCGATTGGGGCCGAAGTAACTGTGTCAATAGGCCTCCAGTCTTGTCGGTACCTTTAGAAATCATGTCCTCAATTTTATGGTCCTTCGGGCGTAATTAAATTAAGCTAATTACGGTCTCTAATTGCTAGTTTTTATGATTGCATCTGAAATTGTTAGGAGAAAGTAGCCTGCCTGCCAAATTTCAGATCTCTAGAGCAATCAGAAGTGGGCTAATTTTCGATGTCAATTTTAACAACAAACATCCAAACAACCAAACAAACAAACAAACGCAAAGCTGAGTTAAGAAAAACATGTTAAAAAATCTGACCCATGTGTTCCCTGACCCCTGACCCATGTGTTCCCTGACCCATGTGTTCCCTGACCCCTGACCCATCTGTTCCCTGTGTTCCCTGACCTAGCAGTTGAGCAGAACAGGCAGACCGTAGACAACCGGAGCAAAACCATTCAAACCAGTCAACCTGCAGACCTTTCTGGCGGCCGTCAAGACGTGACTCAGTGGCACCGGCTTCTTCTGTGACATCCATTCTGTCATCAGGCTGGAGGTCAGCAGGTTAATGTCCTTGTCAGTCACCACCCACAGGTTGCCCACAACTGTTGGACTATACAACAAACAACATTCTTGTTAGAAAATCACATGTTGGACTATACAACAAACAACATCCCAGTTAGAAAATCACATGTTGAGCTATACAACAAACAACATACCAGTTACAAAATCACAATCACATGTTGGACTACACAACAAACAACATACCAGTTAGAAAATCACAATCACATGTTGGACTATACAACAAACATTCTAGTTAGAAAATCACAATCACATGTTGGACTATACAACAAACAACATCCCAGTTAGAAAATCACAATCACATGTTGGACTATACAACAAACAACATTCTAGTTAGAAAATCACAATCACATGTTGGACTATACAACAAACAACATCCCAGTTAGAAAATCACAATCACAAACTATTCACAAACTTTTGACATATGTATTAAAAAGCTGGCAGCACATCGTGAAATAAAATAATTGATGATTTCCATACAAAGTGAAAAAACTAGCATAAAAAGCTACAAAGTTATACTAAAGTTTCTGATTGGGCTATTTTTCTGTCAGGATTAGGATAACTACACTAGAACAAAAATGGGCTAAAATTCAGCTTTCTTACAAGTAGAACATGTAATTGTTGTGGCATTCAAATATCAATTATAAGTAATGTGTCATGTAGATTTAAAGAGGAAATAACAAGAAAATGTGAGACTGACCATCCTGCTAGGAGAAAGTATAACAAGAAAATGTGAGACTGACCATCCTGCTAGGAGAAAGTTTAAAAATGTGAGACTGACCATCCTGCTAGGAGAAAGTATAACAAGAAAATGTGAGACTGACCATCCTGCTAGGAGAAAGTTTAAAAATGTGAGACTGACCATCCTGCTAGGAGAAAGTTTAAAAATGTGAGACTGACCATCCTGCTAGGAGAAAGTATAAGAAGAAAATGTGAGACTGACCATCCTGCCAGGAGAAAGTACAACAAGAAAATGTGAGACTGACAATCCTGCTAGGAGAAAGTTTTAAAATGTGAGACTGACCATCCTGCCAGGAGAAAGTATAAAAGTGTGAGACTGACCATCCTGCCAGGAGAAAGTACAAAGGCCCTCCGTCACCATCCAGACGAGGCTTGTAGTCCAACTTTCCACTGTCACAGCCCATGAGAACGGCAACAGCCTTGGCATTCAACATCTGAAGGTCATCCCCACCAACAAACTGGCTGCCCCATCCGTGACCACAGTACCTGAAACACCAAAGTTTATTAAGGCAGGTTCACCAACTACATTTGATATAATCAAGTTGATCAAGGCAGGTCCATCAACTACATTTGATATAATCAAGTTTTCATCTAACATAATTAAGTTGATAAACTAATTCTTAACTTCCACAGCAAAAGGTAGTTTTTGATTCAAAGCATTTGTGCAACTTGAGTAAAAGATATATTTTTTTTAAATAAATGTGCTATATTTACAGAAAGATTGTTGAATGTGAAGCAAAAATTAATGATATAAAATTGTTAAAAAAGTGGCCACCTACAGATATAGGGCGTTATTTGAAAGAAAATCTTTCAGATCTAAGACAGTTGGTGCTTTCTGTGACAGACAGTTCCAGCCGTCGTATCTACATTGTGGTAAAAATTGTTGTTCAATTCATTACATCAAAATATCAGAAAACTTTAATTGAAAAAAATTATGTATATTAAATTGATAAATTGTTCAATACATGGCACACCACTAATAAATAATTTAAGTACGAGAAAATTTTTAAAAAAAGTAACATCTCAATTCTGCAGTTGTATCCTAGAGCTCAGGTTGAATGAAAAACTGTGCTGGCCATGTTGAACTTACTGTTGAAACTGGGGCAGCAGAACATTGACAGCATTCAACAGGTTGGTCTCTGGGTCTATAACTGCTACAGCACTGTCGCGATCTACACCTCTCCTGTAGGAGGAAACCAGTTTGTTCTGGTGTAATGCCAGCAGGGCATCTAGGGTTACAAGGGATGGAACTCTGGTCACCATCTCTGTTAAAAAATCTGGCATGCTTTCCCATGGCAATTTGTTTAGGGTCTGAAATAGTAATAAAAGCTTTTCATAATAACAACATCTAGACAATTAAGTTTACGACTGACTTTAATTTTAGAAACTTTTTTCAAAGTAGTTTAAAGCATATTTACAACAGTTGTATTCAGACTCAAAGGTTTATGATTTTAGTGATGACACCCATACCTTGTCTAAGATGAGAACCCCTGCTGACCAGACCTATACCTTATCTAAGATGAGAACCACTGGACCCCTGGTGACCAGACCCATACCTTGTCTAAGATGAGAACCACTGGACCCCTGGTGACCAGACCCATACCTTGTCTAAGATGAGAACCACTGGACCACTGGTGACCAGACCCATACCTTGTCTAAGATGAGAACCACTGGGACCAGACCCATACTTTGTCTATGATGAGAACCACTGGTGACCAGACCCATACCTTGTCTAAGATGAGAACCACTGGTGACCAGACCCATACCTTGTCTAAGATGAGAACCCCTGGTGACCAGACCCATACTTTGTCTAAGATGAGAACCACTCGACCCCTGGTGACCAGACCCATACCTTGTCTAAGATGAGAACCACTGAACCCCTAGTGACCAGACCCATACCTTGTCTAAGATGAGAACCACTGGACCCCTGGTGACCAGACCCATACCTGGTCTAAGATGAGAACCACTGGTGACCAGACCCATACCTTGTCTAAAATGAGAACCACTGGTGACCAGACCCATACCTTGTCTAAGATGAGAACCACTGGTGACCAGACCCATACCCTGTCTAAGATGAGAACCACTGGTGACCAGACCCATACCCTGTCTAAGATGAGAACCACTGGTGACCAGACCCATACTTTGTCTAAGATGAGAACCACTGGACCCCTGGTGACCAGACCCATACCTTGTCTAAGATGAGAACCACTGGACCCCTGGTGACCAGACCCATACCTTGTGTAAGATGAGAACCACTGGTGACCAGACCCATACCTTGTCTAAGATGAGAACCACTGGACCCCTAGTGACCAGACCCATACCCTGTCTAAGATGAAAAACCACTGGTGACCAGACCCATACCTTGTCTAAGATGAGAACCACTGGTGACCAGACCCATACTTTGTCTAAGATGAGAACCACTGGTGACCAGACCCATACTTTGTCTAAGATGAGAACCACTGGACCCCTGGTGATCAGACCCATACCTTGTCTAAGATGAGAACCACTGGTGACCAGACCCATACCCTGTCTAAGATGAGAACCACTGGTGACCAGACCCATACCTTGTCTAAGATGAGAACCCCTGGACCCCTGGTGACCAGACCCATACCTGGTCTAAGATGAGAACCACTGGTGACCAGACCCATACCTTGTCTAAGATGAGAACCACTAGTGACCAGACCCATACCTTATCTAAGATGAGAACCACTGGACCCCTGGTGACCAGACCCATACCTGGTCTAAGATGAGAACCACTGGTGACCAGACCCATACCTTGTCTAAGATGAGAACCACTGGACCCCTGGTGACCAGACCCATACCTTGTCTAAGATGAGAACCACTGGTGACCAGACCCATACCTTGTCTAAGATGAGAACCACTGGTGACCAGACCCATACCTTGTCTAAGATGAGAACCACTGGACCCCTGGTGACCAGACCCATACCTTGTCTAAGATGAGAACCACTGGTGACCAGACCCATACCTTGTCTAAGATGAGAACCACTGGACCCCTGGTGACCAGACCCATACCTTGTGTAAGATGAGAACCACTGGTGACCAGACCCATACCTTGTCTAAGATGAGAACCACTGGTGACCAGACCCATACCTTGTCTAAGATGAGAACCCCTGGTGACCAGACCCATACTTTGTCTAAGATGAGAACCACTCGACCCCTGGTGACCAGACCCATACCTTGTCTAAGATGAGAACCACTGAACCCCTAGTGACCAGACCCATACCTTGTCTAAGATGAGAACCACTGGACCCCTGGTGACCAGACCCATACCTGGTCTAAGATGAGAACCACTGGTGACCAGACCCATACCTTGTCTAAAATGAGAACCACTGGTGACCAGACCCATACCTTGTCTAAGATGAGAACCACTGGTGACCAGACCCATACCCTGTCTAAGATGAGAACCACTGGTGACCAGACCCATACCCTGTCTAAGATGAGAACCACTAGTGACCAGACCCATACCTTATCTAAGATGAGAACCACTGGACCCCTGGTGACCAGACCCATACCTGGTCTAAGATGAGAACCACTGGTGACCAGACCCATACCTTGTCTAAGATGAGAACCACTGGACCCCTGGTGACCAGACCCATACCTTGTCTAAGATGAGAACCACTGGTGACCAGACCCATACCTTGTCTAAGATGAGAACCACTGGTGACCAGACCCATACCTTGTCTAAGATGAGAACCACTGGACCCCTGGTGACCAGACCCATACCTTGTCTAAGATGAGAACCACTGGTGACCAGACCCATACCTTGTCTAAGATGAGAACCACTGGACCCCTGGTGACCAGACCCATACCTTGTCTAAGATGAGAACCACTGGTGACCAGACCCATACCTTGTCTAAGATGAGAACCACTGGTGACCAGACCCATACCTTGTCTAAGATGAGAACCACTGGACCCCTGGTGACCAGACCCATACCTGGTCTAAGATGAGAACAACTGGACCCCTGGTGACTAGACCCATACCTTGTCTAAGATGAGAACCACTGGACCCCTGGTGACCAGACCCATACCTTGTCTAAGATGAGAACCACTGGACCCCTGGTGACCAGACCCATACCTTGTCTAAGATGAGAACCACTGGTGACCAGACCCATACTTTGTCTAAGATAAAACCACTGGTGACCAGACCCATACCTTGTCTAAGATGAGAACCACTGGTGACCAGACCCATACCTTGTCTAAGATGAGTACCCCTAGTGACCAGATCCATACCTTATCTAAGATGAGAACCACTGGACCCCTGGTGACCAGACCCATACCTGGTCTAAGATGAGAACCACTGGACCCCTGGTGACCAGACCCATACCTTGTCTAAGATGAGAACCACTGGTGACCAGACCCATACCTTGTCTAAGATGAGAACCCCTAGTGACCAGACCCATACCTTATCTAAGATGAGAACCACTGGACCCCTGGTGACCAGACCCATACCTTGTCTAAGATGAGAACCCCTAGTGACCAGACCCATACCTTGTCTAAGATGAGAACCACTAGTGACCAGACCCATACCTGGTCTAAGATGAGAACCACTGGTGACCAGACCCATACCTTGTCTAAGATGAGAACCCCTAGTGACCAGACCCATACCTTGTCTAAGATGAGAACCACTAGTGACCAGACCCATACCTGGTCTAAGATGAGAACCACTGGACCCCTGGTGACCAGACCCATACCTTGTCTAAGATGAGAATCACTGGTGACCAGACCCATACCTTGTCTAAGATGAGAACCACTGGACCCCTAATGACCAGACCCATACCTGGTCTAAGATGAGAACCACTGGTGACCAGACCCATACCTTGTCTAAGATGAGAACCACTGGTGACCAGACCCATACCTTGTCTAAGATGAGAACCACTGGTGACCAGACCCATACCTTGTCTAAGATGAGAACCACTGGACCCCTGGTGACCAGACCCATACCTGGTCTAAGATGAGAACAACTGGACCCCTGGTGACCAGACCCATACCTTGTCTAAGATGAGAACCACGGGACCCCTGGTGACCAGACCCATACCTTGTCTAAGATGAGAACCACTGGACCCCTGGTGACCAGACCCATACCTGGTCTAAGATGAGAACCACTGGTGACCAGACCCATACCTTGTCTAAGATGAGAACCACTGGTGACCAGACCCATACTTTGTCTAAGATAAAACCACTGGTGACCAGACCCATACCTTGTCTAAGATGAGAACCACTGGTGACCAGACCCATACCTTGTCTAAGATGAGTACCCCTAGTGACCAGATCCATACCTTATCTAAGATGAGAACCACTGGACCCCTGGTGACCAGACCCATACCTGGTCTAAGATGAGAACCACTGGACCCCTGGTGACCAGACCCATACCTTGTCTAAGATGAGAACCACTGGTGACCAGACCCATACCTTGTCTAAGATGAGAACCCCTAGTGACCAGACCCATACCTTATCTAAGATGAGAACCACTGGACCCCTGGTGACCAGACCCATACCTTGTCTAAGATGAGAACCCCTAGTGACCAGACCCATACCTTGTCTAAGATGAGAACCACTAGTGACCAGACCCATACCTGGTCTAAGATGAGAACCACTGGTGACCAGACCCATACCTTGTCTAAGATAAGAACCCCTAGTGACCAGACCCATACCTGGTCTAAGATGAGAACCACTGGACCCCTGGTGACCAGACCCATACCTTGTCTAAGATGAGAATCACTGGTGACCAGACCCATACCTTGTCTAAGATGAGAACCACTGGACCCCTAGTGACCAGACCCATACCTGGTCTAAGATGAGAACCACTGGTGACCAGACCCATACCTTGTCTAAGATGAGAACCACTGGTGACCAGACCCATACCTTGTCTAAGATGAGAACCACTGGTGACCAGACCCATACCTTGTCTAAGATGAGAACCACTGGTGACCAGACCCATACCTTGTCTAAGATGAGAACCACTGGTGACCAGACCCATACTTTGTCTAAGATGAGAACCACTGGTGACTAGACCCATACTTTGTCTAAGATGAGAACCACTGGTGACCAGACCCATACCTTGTCTAAGATGAGAACCACTGGTGACCAGACCCATACTTTGTCTAAGATGAGAACCACTGGTGACCCTACCCATACTTTGTCTAAGATGAGAACCACTGGTGACCAGACCCATACCTTGTCTAAGATGAGAACCACTGGACCCCTGGTGACCAGACCCATACCTTGTCTAAGATGAGAACCCCTGGTGACCAGACCCATACCTTGTCTAAGATGAGAACCACTGGTGACTAGACCCATACTTTGTCTAAGATGAGAACCACTGGTGACCAGACCCATACCTTGTCTAAGATGAGAACCACTGGTGACCAGACCCATACTTTGTCTAAGATGAGAACCACTGGTGACCCTACCCATACTTTGTCTAAGATGAGAACCACTGGTGACCAGACCCATACCTTGTCTAAGATGAGAACCACTGGTGACCAGACCCATACCTTGTCTAAGATGAGAACCTCTGGTGACCAGACCCATACCTTGTCTAAGATGAGAACCACTGGTGACCAGACCCATACCTTGTCTAAGATGAGAACCCCTGGTGACCAGACCCATACCTTGTCTAAGATGAGAACTACTGGTGACCAGACCCATACTTTGTCTAAGATGAGAGCCACTGGTGACTAGACCCATACTTTGTCTAAGATGAGAACCACTGGTGACTAGACCCATACTTTGTCTAAGATGAGAACCACTGGTGACCAGACCCATACCTTGTCTAAGATGAGAACCACTGGTGACCAGACCCATACTTTGTCTAAGATGAGAACCCCTGGTGACCAGACCCATACCTTGTCTAAGATGAGAACCACTGGTGACCAGACCCATACCTTGTCTAAGATGAGAACCACTAGTGACCAGACCCATACCTTGTCTAAGATGAGAACCACTAGTGACCAGACCCATACCTTGTCTAAGATGAGAACCACTGGTGACCAGACCCATACTTTGTCTAAGATGAGAACCACTGGTGACCAGACCCATACCTTGTCTAAGATGAGAACCACTGGTGACCAGACCCATACCTTGTCTAAGATGAGAACCCCTAGTGACCAGACCCATACCTTGTCTAAGATGAGAACCACTGGTGACCAGACCCATACCTGTCTAAGATGAGAACCCCTGGTGACCAGACCCATACCTGGTCTAAGATGAGAACCACTGGACCCCTAGTGACCAGACCCATACCTTGTCTAAGATGAGAACCACTGGTGACCAGACCCATACCTTGTCTAAGATGAGAACCACTGGTGACCAGACCCATACTTTGTCTAAGATGAGAACCACTGGTGACCAGACCCATACCTTGTCTAAGATGAGAACCACTGGTGACCAGACCCATACCTTGTCTAAGATGAGAACCCCTAGTGACCAGACCCATACCTTGTCTAAGATGAGAACCACTGGTGACCAGACCCATACCTTGTCTAAGATGAGAATCACTGGTGACCAGACCCATACCTTGTCTAAGATGAGAACCACTGGACCCCTAATGACCAGACCCATACCTGGTCTAAGATGAGAACCACTGGTGACCAGACCCATACCTTGTCTAAGATGAGAACCACTGGTGACCAGACCCATACCTTGTCTAAGATGAGAACCACTGGTGACCAGACCCATACCTTGTCTAAGATGAGAACCACTGGTGACCAGACCCATACCTTGTCTAAGATGAGAACCACTGGACCCCTGGTGACCAGACCCATACCTGGTCTAAGATGAGAACCACTGGTGACCAGACCCATACCTTGTCTAAGATGAGAACCACTGGTGACCAGACCCATACTTTGTCTAAGATAAAACCACTGGTGACCAGACCCATACCTTGTCTAAGATGAGAACCACTGGTGACCAGACCCATACCTTGTCTAAGATGAGTACCCCTAGTGACCAGATCCATACCTTATCTAAGATGAGAACCACTGGACCCCTGGTGACCAGACCCATACCTGGTCTAAGATGAGAACCACTGGACCCCTGGTGACCAGACCCATACCTTGTCTAAGATGAGAACCACTGGTGACCAGACCCATACCTTGTCTAAGATGAGAACCCCTAGTGACCAGACCCATACCTTATCTAAGATGAGAACCACTGGACCCCTGGTGACCAGACCCATACCTTGTCTAAGATGAGAACCCCTAGTGACCAGACCCATACCTTGTCTATGATGAGAACCACTAGTGACCAGACCCATACCTGGTCTAAGATGAGAACCACTGGTGACCAGACCCATACCTTGTCTAAGATGAGAACCCCTAGTGACCAGACCCATACCTTGTCTAAGATGAGAACCACTGGACCCCTAATGACCAGACCCATACCTGGTCTAAGATGAGAACCACTGGTGACCAGACCCATACCTTGTCTAAGATGAGAACCTCTGGTGACCAGACCCATACCTTGTCTAAGATGAGAACCACTGGACCCCTGGTGACCAGACCCATACCTTGTCTAAGATTAGAACCCCTGGTGACCAGACCCATACCTTGTCTAAGATGAGAACCACTGGTGACTAGACCCATACTTTGTCTAAGATGAGAACCACTGGTGACCAGACCCATACCTTGTCTAAGATGAGAACCACTGGTGACCAGACCCATACTTTGTCTAAGATGAGAACCACTGGTGACCCTACCCATACTTTGTCTAAGATGAGAACCACTGGTGACCAGACCCATACCTTGTCTAAGATGAGAACCACTGGTGACCAGACCCATACCTTGTCTAAGATGAGAACCTCTGGTGACCAGACCCATACCTTGTCTAAGATGAGAACCCCTGGTGACCGGACCCATACCTTGTCTAAGATGAGAACTACTGGTGACCAGACCCATACTTTGTCTAAGATGAGAACCACTGGTGACTAGACCCATACTTTGTCTAAGATGAGAACCACTGGTGACTAGACCCATACTTTGTCTAAGATGAGAACCACTGGTGACCAGACCCATACCTTGTCTAAGATGAGAACCACTGGTGACCAGACCCATACTTTGTCTAAGATGAGAACCCCTGGTGACCAGACCCATACCTTGTCTAAGATGAGAACCACTGGTGACCAGACCCATACCTTGTCTAAGATGAGAACCACTAGTGACCAGACCCATACCTTGTCTAAGATGAGAACCACTAGTGACCAGACCCATACCTTGTCTAAGATGAGAACCACTGGTGACCAGACCCATACTTTGTCTAAGATGAGAACCACTGGTGACCAGACCCATACCTTGTCTAAGATGAGAACCACTGGTGACCAGACCCATACCTTGTCTAAGATGAGAACCCCTAGTGACCAGACCCATACCTTGTCTAAGATGAGAACCACTGGTGACCAGACCCATACCTGTCTAAGATGAGAACCCCTGGTGACCAGACCCATACCTGGTCTAAGATGAGAACCACTGGACCCCTAGTGACCAGACCCATACCTTGTCTAAGATGAGAACCACTGGTGACCAGACCCATACCTTGTCTAAGATGAGAACCACTGGACCCCTGGTGACCAGACACTCCTCCCCATAGGCTTGAGCCACCTCCCCCTGCAGCTGTAGACAGATCTGTGAGACCAGACTGGACACATCCTGTGGCCAGACACAGGCAAACAGTGAGGTGACGTCCTGCTCATGGGCACACAGTACAGCTTCCAACAGGACCTGAAGAGACAGACTACATTTCACATTTTGTAACAACTGTATACAGCTTCCAATAGGACCTGAAGAGACAGACTATTTTTTTCACATTTTGCAACAACTGTATACAGCTTCCAACAGGACCTGAAGAGACAGACTATTTTTCACATTTTGCAACAACTGTATAACTTAATGACTATCAGCCAAACCATCCAGCACCACTGTAACATAATCACCAGTAGTCACAGTAAAATTGATGTTAAACATTAAAACAAAATATGCCAACAACAAGTTTATAAAATACTGCTTCTCACCCGAACTGTGTTATAATTGAGCTGATATTTGAGCTGATGTAAGACTGTGTCCACAGCGTTCTGTGCTGCAGTCTCTAACAGCTGGCTGACCTTTGGCTGACCAACCAGATCTACCCGTCCTCTCAACAGCCACTTGTGGGAGCTCAGGAACATTTCTTGTAGGTACTGGACAACATTCTGGGGGAGCGGGAGGCAGAAAGTTTAGTTTAACTGAAGACATTAGTAAATAGATAAGAGTTGATCCAATATGAGAGCAACCGAAGACAGTATTAAATAGATAAGAGTTGAATCAATGTGAGAGGAACTGAAGACAGTAAATAGATAAGAGTTGAATCAATGTGAGAGCAACTGACTTTGATATCCTTGTCCTTCCTAAACCTGTGGTTCCAGTAGTCCACTGGTGACAGGTTGTTGTCATATTTGATGGCTGTTTCATACACTCTACTGGCTCTGGTTAGCTGAGGACACAATCAAGACATTGGTACTCACTACTTGCATAACTACAAGACAGAAACAGCCTAAAGAAAACATTTGTGTAGGTTCAAAGGTTGGGTCAAAGCTTGGGGGAAAAAAATGTAGTGGGATGATATTACTTTTGAAATAAATGATTTGTTTGCCTATTACTTTTCAAATACAATTTTGATGAGTGTGATTATCAAGTGATTACACAAATCTAGACTTGACTTACATAGAGCCATCTTTTGTGTGGAAGTTCAACAGTTACAGGTTCAAGGTCAGGGGTCAATCTTGTTATGAACACCTGGCCAGTGCCAGGGTTCAATGGGTTGTAGTTGACCACAGTCAACTGGACAACAGTCCAATCTGTGGGGACATATGAGCTCATTAGCTTTTACGCTAAGATTAGAGTAATTTATGCTAAGAAAAGATGAATAAATACATGGTAAACTATGACAATAAAAAATGGCTTTAATATTTTGCATGAACTTATAGGTAGGGTTTAAATAACACTAAGAAGTCTAAGAAATGAAGTCACACTTTACAAAAATTATTTAACCGTTGAGCAACCAAAAAAGACAGTAGAGATGACGTACCTGCAGGCAAGGCAGCCAATCTCTTGTCTAGAAGCTCCACTTCCCCCCCTGGCTGTAGGCGACTCAGGGCCTCAGACATGGCCGTGACCTCATGGGTCAGATCCTCACCTGTCAGCTGACACCAGTCACTCAGGTACATGTTGGCATCACTGTCATCAGGCTGCAGCTTCCTAGACATGGAATCTTTACATTTTCTGAATCAGAAAACAGGTAAATATTTTATTTACATAGTTCAGACAATACATTTTCATGCCAGTGTATATAATAAAAATAATTTAAAAATAAAATATCATAAAAACATTAAAAAGAAAAGTATACCCACAGAAGATTGTAGACATGGAAGTTAATTGCAACTCAACCAATGAGCTACCAGCTTCATCAGGCTAAAACACCTTACCTAAGTTTTGATTGCAGGTTTCTTGTCATGAGATGACGGAAGGTCAAGTGCATAGAGTCTGTCAGGTAGGCTGCGATTTTCTTATGGTCACCTTGGTCACCATTTCCTCGGGATTTGGCTGGGATGAACATTTAAACAAATATTTGGCTGGGGTCAACATTTAAACAAATATTTGGCTGGGATGAACATTTAAACAAATATTTGGCTGGGATCAACATTTAAACAAATATTTGGCTGGGAACAACATTTAAACAAATATTTGGCTGGGATCAAAAACATATTTGGCTAGTATCAACGGTTAAAAAAATATTTGGCTTAGATCAACATTTAGAAAAATTTAAAGTAAAATAACATTTTATGGACTACATTAAAAATAATATATTGTAATTATTCAAAAAGTGAATTAAAGAATTAAACTGGGCATTTATCAAACAATTTACCGAGCACCCATCACACAGAAAATGACAACATGATGTTTAAAATCTGTATTTACCATCCAAAGTTTCCTGGGACCATTCATTCAGGGCCAGGGCCCGAGATATCTGACTGTAGAGAAATGAGTGAGGAAAATGCTTCATCCTCTGTAACGCGTCTCTGAGTTGGTCAGATTCTGCTGAGCCTGGTGCCAGACAGAAAACATCTACAAGTTCCATTTACACGAAGAATATCATACACAAAATCCCTATACTATGATATTGTCCGAAAAAGTCCCATTATAATTTTTAGGCTAGAAATATATGTAATTAGATAGAACACCTGCATTATTTAATACTGTAGTATAAACAGGTTAAAAAACAACAAAATGAAACAAAAGTACGTAACAGGTATGTTATAACTGGGATGTGCATAATTGTAGGTAAAGTCCATACTATCATATTGTGTAATTGTAGGTTAGATAGGTCATAGTAGTTGTGACAGGAATGGCCCTAAGGTGTTTAATTTAAGTCCCATAACTTAGTATAATTTGAATACATTAAGAATGTTCCAGTGTATCATAGTTGTCCAGATAGTGCAGGTTAGATGTAATGTAGGCATAGGTTATGAGCCCGGCTTCTAGTGGGATTGATGAGGTCAGGCAGGGGCGGGGTTACTTAGGGTGAGGATGAGAGATTTAATTGGGGAGTTGTTAGCCATGTGAGGATGTAGATGTGATGTGGGTTGTAAGGTGTGTTAGGGCTGGTGGTTGCTATTGACAAACAAGTTTCTCTTCTGCTGTAGTCAAGGTTAAAATTGTCAGACAGTAACTGGTATTCATCCTCCATCATATTAAAGAGGCTAAACCAAATTTCATAACAAGGTATACATAATGAACAGGTAATCTGTATCAAGGTAACACTTACCTGAGACAGGTATCTGCAAGTCAGAGATGTCTGGCATGAGCTCAGTTTTCTCCAATCTCTTGGTGCCTGTTGTTTTTTCCGTTTCCTGTTTCTTTTTACCCCGCCCCCTGGGTACCTCAGGTGAGTCTAACCAGGTTGATGTGGTCATCAAACAGCTGTCGTCTCCCCTGACTGGGCTTGCCATGATGATGTAGGACACATCCAAGTTCTCTACAACAAACGGCGCCAGCAGAGGTTCCTGTCTCCCAGTCTCAGGGGACTCAACTTTTTTCTTTCTGGAACTTCTCTTTGGTGCCACATTTTCTTTGGGTGGCATTTCCTTCTTGACCTGCCTCTGCCTTGTGATCCTCTTGACAGGTTTGGTGCTCTCAGGCCGAGAGGACCTTGAGGGAGCCTCCACACCAGCTGGCTCCTCCATGGGTGGGTTGTGTTCTCGCAGAGTTTTGACAGGTTTTTTCACACAGGGCGTTACCACAGAGTCATCAAAGATCTGGATGACTTTATCTTTTCTAAGTGAGAGCTTCTTGCTAGTCTTAGCGCCTGATTTAATGCTGGATGAGGTGGATACTTTGGTGGATGTGGCGGATACTTTGGTGGATATGGCGGATGTTGGGGACACACTTGTGGTGATTCTGAAAGGAGCAGTTGGAGTTCTCAAGTGGGTGTCTGGCTGGACACTGTCTGAGGCGGTGACCAGATTCACAGATTTAAAGTCTAGAACTTTTTGTGAGTTCCAAAAAGTGTTGAAGGCCTGTAACTCACTGACACCTAGGGCGATGATTTCTTCATCGGTGAGGTCAGTCCCCCTCTGCTCTGTCCACTCACGAGCTTCCTCGCCCACCATCTGACTGTGTGTGAGCAGCTCAGGCAGGTGTTTCATGTGGCTCTTGAGTAAATGAGTAGACGCCAACACAACAGAGTTGTTCAAGGAACACACCTCTGTGCTGTTGTTGACCACACTGTCCAAACAACACTTTAAGTCTTCCACACGGACCTCACAACCTTCGTGCTCTGGCATGTTATACAGACAGTGATACAGATAGGAAGCCAGACGAAATTTGGTTTCTAACAGCGGATTGATAGTTTCTAGAGCACCATGTTCCCCAACAGAAAAGTTGAATCTGTATTCCGCTAAAACATCCAAAACTTTGCGTTGATAAGTCTTTTCTGAGAAAGCTTGCGATGTGCACCCTGCGGCATTGAGGGACTCAATCACAGCAGAATGTTGGCCGTTTTTACTGGCAATCTGAAAACATTCACATTTTTAAATGGCAACCTGAAATAAACATTCACATTTTTTACTGGTAATATGAAAACAAAAGATACATAACACATACCTCGGCTTGGTACCACATGAGTTGGGTGCAAAGATGTGCTACATTAGGGTTGTAGCAATGGCTACATGACACAGCATGACAGAGAAACTTCACATCTGGCCCTTCATCCTCCAAGACTTCTTCGTTATCCACAGCCTCAAACAAAAGTTCCCTGACGTCTAGCTCTGGAACACAACAGTTGTGTAATGAGTACCCACCTAGTAGTTGACTAGAGTATTAACTGTAACTCAATAGATCGTGATGATTTAAAAGATGTGCTGAAGCTACAACCACTAGAGATTTACCATCAACTTGACTTGGCCTGTTTGAACAGATGCACTGATTCTGTTTTCTGTCTGTATGAAAATGGCAGTGAAACTGGTCCAGAGGGTTGTGTGTACAGCTTGCAGCTTCAACTTCCTGGGATGACAAGCTTTGTTTACCAACTATTCTTAGTGCTCTCTGGTGAAAAAGTTTCAAATAATTGAACAACAAACTTAACAATAGCATGTTAAGAGAGATGAGAAAATAAAATGTAATTTTAAAAAGTTGAATCTTAAAATAAAAGAAATCAACTTGGGGCCAATATAACGAGGATAAAAGTGGGAATGTAGCACTAAATGTAGTTGTCCTACCTTCAGGTACCCTTGAGCCTCTTTAGTTGTATCATAGTAGCACAGAGCCACTTCCACAAGTTTACACAGAAATATGGCACTCCTGATGAGGAAAATATAGACAGAGTTAATCAAATCAAACATGTTATAAGTGTGGATAGCTACAGGCAATGTGGAATTAAAAGATAAAGGTTTTTCTCATAGTATTGGAGGGTGAATCATTGCTTATTAAAAAAAACAGGTTTAAAAATCTGTAGCATGCAAATAAAATGGAAACAGCTGCAAAGTATAAAGTTGATGAGCTGTGAGTGAGATAACTTCTCACATAGGGAAGATGTATCAGAACTTAGGGCTATATCAACTGACCAGTCTGTGAGATAAGTTCTCACATAGGGAAGATGTATCAAAACTTAGGGCTATATGAACTGACCAAGTGACCAGTAGATAGGACTCGGACATCTTGAGTCCCTCTGTAAAGTAAGTCCTGGCATATTTGATGTTTCCAATGTGCATGAACAATTCCCCATTCAGCTTTAGAGTTGTCAAATAATTGTGAACTATTTGCCAAGTGTCTATAGAGGGCCCTGAAAAATAAAACAACACTTTTCATGCAATGAATGTTACCAAAAAGCTATATTATTAATATATTAACTGTTAGCTACTCAATCTTTATAAAATAAGCTACACAATCTTTACAAAAGACAATCTCTAATTAAAAAAAAAATTATGCATTTAATTTTTGGTCTGTAATAATGGAAGGCACAAGCTTAAACATGAACAAACCTTTGTTCTCAATGCTCTTGTAGTCTTTCCCCAAGTAAAACATGGCAATACTAGAGCTGTACTTGAGGGCATCACCAGCAAGCAACAGGGGATATGTGTCATGTGACTCAGACCCTGAAATACAATACTCATATAATTCATTGGGTACTAAGACTAAATACACAACTCATATATTCATTGCATTGGCACTAAGATAAAATACACAACTAATCTCTGACCCTTCTCTAATTCAACAACATACCATAGTCACTTATCTCTGGAAACAGTGCAGCAAATTCAGCAGAAAGTCTCTTGATGAATGACAGGGCTATTACAGTGCTGGGGTACATGACCGCTTTGTCACAAGTCTCATTCACAAGATTACGAACCTTCACAAAGTGCATAAGCTGAATGGTTCAAAACAATAAGTCTTAGAAGCAGGATATAGAAACAAATTTAAAACTTTATAACTAATTAGGGAGTATTTAATTTCCAAAGTCCTAATAAAAATAATGAAATATTTTCCATCTTTCAGATTATAATTTAAATTAAAAATAAGTTAGAAGCAGGAATTATTTAAAACCAATTAATATTTATCTCCCCTGATGACAAGACTTACCTCCCCTGTCCTCAGATGGTGTGCTGCAATGGAGACCAGGTCCAGGATGTGTCCATCCTCCCCCAGGCCAAGACTGGACATGAAGACATCATCAGGGCTGTCCTCAAACAGATCTTTGTCACTGCTGCCATCATCACACTTCAAGCCCACCTGTGCCACCAGCGCAATCAGCTGGCCAGTCACACGCTTGACCACATCTGTTTTCTCGGCTAGGGTGGCCAGATTTTTTGCCAGACAGAATGCCTGTAAAGCTGTGGTGGTCTGCAAACAAAATACCATACAGTACACATCACATGAACGCTGACATGTTTCCTACACAATTCCAAGAGTTCAGGCCTAAACCTCCTGATGATTACCTGATGGTTAGCCAGCGCCAACTCTGCAACCCTCTGCAAGAAAGTGAGACTCCGCTCCGCCCTAAACCTCCCATCCTCCATGGTCATCAAGAGACTTTTGTGGCAGTTGAACCATTCAGTCCACACAGTCAGACAAACAGATGCTTTGGTCATAAGGGTATCACTGTCTACCTGGAGAAAACAAAACAAGAATTCAGATATCAAACTTAGTAGAAATAGTTTGAAAATATGATAGCAACACCGTAAAGCATAGACTATGTTTACATTTTTTATGTAATTCCTCAGTGCAAAGCAGTAAAAAAATAAAACAAACAAAAATAGAACATAATTTGATAAAACATCTTACCTGGCAAAGAGGTTGACTGGCCAAGTTTTTTCCTTTACTCTTGAGGACCTGTTTCCTGGGTCTCACTGGCGTCTGAAATGAAAGCTTCAATTTGGGGGTCGGGGCCTGATCCATCGGGGTCTGTGGCTCCAACAGGCAAGGCTTAGTGGGGGGCTTGACTGTTTGGGTTGACTGCATTATGGGTGGTGGAGTGGTAGGTACTTCAGGAAACTCATGCTCTGCATTGGCCTGCGATTCAAACAAAAACAGAAGAAATACAAGCTTAGGCCAACATTTTACCCTGTAAGATACTCACAATTCATAAGCTGAGGTTGCATGGCACAAGAAACTTTGCACACTGTATTTCAACATTTAACGTGTGGGTACCTTGTCTAAACATGTGAGCCGGTGACACATCTCCCAGTATAAGAAAGTCATCTGTGACAGAAAGTCATCGAAACTGTGACTGGAGTCATCCCCTAGCACAGAGATTGAGGCTCTTGTTGTCTGAAGCATCTGACTGGTGAGACAATAAATAAGGAGAACTCAAACACATTATGTAGAGGTGACATAACTATAGATTAAAAAACATTTAACTGTGCTTTTAAAGTTGAGCAAAGCACCAAGACTAAGTACCTTGAAATCTTGTGGTTGTCATCATTAGAGAAGGCTTTATTTTCTACCAGCAGGAGTGAGTACACAGCTTTCTCACAAGATGAGAGGGCGGGGTGGGCAGACAAACATTCTAGGATGTCAGCAATAGCTCGGCTCAAAGACGGGCTAAAGCAAGTTACAGAAGTACATAGTAAAATATCAGTGACAACTTTACAAAGGTAAATAAATTATGCCTATCAGATAAAGAGAAAATTTGCAGCATAAAGGGCTTGGAACAACTAAGGGGTGAGGTAGAAAGCATTTTGTAGAACCCACCTTTGATTGAAGGACAGTATCCACCTACACACCATCTCCATCAGCTGAGCGTGTTGTTGTTCTTCTTCATGTAGCAGAGGTTCAAACATCTTCACCACAGGCCTGACAATCAAAATAATTTTTTACTTTACCACAGGCCTGACTACCAAAACATATTTTACTTTACCACAGGCCTGACTATCAAAACATTTTTTTTTTACTTTTCCACAGACCTGACAATCCAATCAAAACATTTTTTTTTACCCTTACAAAAAAGCCGGACAATCAAAACGTGACCATTTTTTATTTACTTGTATGTCAAAATAAACTGTTTACAAACCTTTTAAACTACCAAAAAAAACTAAATCACAAAGGAGAAACAACCACTCACAATGAAGGATCTTGTTTTGCCATTTCCCAGATTGTCTTTATGAGAGGTTCAGTGATGAGCTTGGTGTCAAGTCTAGCTGCCTCCACGATCACACAACATGCCTTTTCCTTCTGGCCCAGGCTTCTGTAGCTCTCAGCCAGGGACTCGTGGTATCTGACGTGTGCTAGCTGGAGAGTAAGATAGAGTAAGTAAGTAAAGTTCCTCTTTAGACCTAGGGATCCATTGGGAAGATGAGATGATGCATGTTTTTTGACCTCTGTATATGAAGGGATAGAGTCGTCAGCATTATGCCCAGTCGCCTCTAACTTCCCCAACATAGGTCAGGTGCCAATCAGAAATAGGTGGACTCAGGGACATCTGACAGTCACACATTCAAACGATGATTGGAACCTGAGACCTTCAAGCTAGTAGCTGAGCGCTCTACCACCCCACATTGAGATGAGGCGCCAGTTGGTAACAAGCTAAACAATTATCTTAACATTTTTAAAAATATTGGATCAAATTTGAGGGAATTAACAATGTGCACTGACCAGCTCTGCCAGTTTGGGGACAGGCCAGACTGGAGCCAGGACCCGTACAACTTGTGCATGTTTCTCTTGTCGCCTCAACTGTCGGCCTATAGAGCCCAGAGCTACGGCTAGAAGAAACAAGTAGAACATTCAGTTGTGAACATTTTAAAATAAGTAAACACAAACCACATTTACACACAAACTATGCTGATATATTTAAAAATATGTCAATGTTAATGTATTCTAATGCTCTTTTTCATCAGTACATAGGTTTATAAATAAATATATATAACTTTTTTACACAGCAAACAAAGACACCATACGATTCTACATGTGTTAAAGAGCCCTCATAATTAGACTAAAATTAATTTTCTTACTGGCACTCTCCAGGCACTTGAGGACCTGACTGGCAGCATTAGGTAGGGCAGAGAGGATGTTTTTCTTGCTCACAGCTTGACTCAGTCTACACAGAGAGTTCAGTGTGCCCTTCTGGAGAGTGGACAACTCAACCAACTTGTCTAGGAAACATTTTAATTAACTAAGATCAGTTTAAAGATATCATATTTCCTACAATATTGATTCCTTATATAGTGAAATCTGAAACGGTTAGCAGGACGATATAGCATTACATTAAGAATTCTCTGGGCTATGATTATATCTGCCCAACAAAAAAAATGATATATTTACTGCCAGTCATTTTATAAGTAAACTTAAATGTTTAAGATTAAAAAAAAAATTAATATTGAGTAGTAGAATACTCAAACTAATGAAATTACAACTTTTATCATAATTTTATCATAATTCTGTTGGTTTAGTGATTGGCTTGCTGTTAGTTATCAAACTGTTCCTGTACATTAACAACTGTTAGAGCATTAACAACAGTAGATAAAAAAAAACTTGATATTACCAGACTCGTCCCTAGACAGCAGAGCCTGTAATGTATTGAGCCTGGTTTTGTTTGCAAGAGCCAACGAGTATACCCTGGCGGACACAAAGTTCAGATAGCTCTCCTTCCCAGCCCTGGCCAGAATCTCACGCAGGAAGATCTCAATGGCCAGAGACAGCAGCCTGTAGAGCAGCATCAGCGTGCAGGTCGCTGTCTGCCTGGGGTCTATGCTGGTGCTGACAAGTGCTGACAGACTGTCTCCTATGGCCAGGCTGACAGGTTTCTGAGACTCAGACAACAGTGCTTGGATGTGTGAGATGGTAGGGCTCAACTGGGATTCCATCTGGAGATCAGATATTAAACTTTCATATTGTGTTCATCATGGATTAACTTTCAACAACTACTGACTTCAAAATATATTTAATCATAGCTTAAATATTTAACAATGACAAGAAAAAAAATGCAAAAGTTACATATATATACTTACTTGTGAACTATCATCCATCTCTAAGTTGTCCTTTTTTGATGGTTTTTTGTTATTTTTAGAGTGCCCACTTTGTGTAGGATCCCATGGTGCAGCATCATTCAGGCTACAAGTAAACTTCAATAAAGAAATCACAATCTCCTGAACTGTAAAAATGACAAGAGTTAAACTTGCAAGTTATTTAAGAAGTAAAACACTGGAAATTAGTGTCTGGTAGGCAGAGTTTAACAAAGTTTTGCTCAAAAGGAATTTAGTTAATGTAAAAATCAGAACCTGTTTGCATTGAAAGAAATACCCTAGTAATATGTGAATAGGATCTGTATACAAAAGAAAACAGCAACCCCCCATCAATAAATAGAGCACGTACTTCTGTTTTCCACCTGACTGCTGACAGCCAACTTGTTTTTTTTTATCAGACGACAAGAGGCTTCAACAGGGAAGTCATGGCTGCAGTCAGCTGTTTCCAGCTTGTACAAGTTACCATCACAGGCAAGCAGCCTCTCACACATCCCAGCATCCCTCTGTACCAGTCTAAAACACAGTAACAGCTGCAGTCAAACAATCTTTTGGTGATACACACTTCAGTATTAACAACTATTTTGTGGGAGTCCACAATGTCTGAGCAAACTTTGACGCCACATACACAGAACTAGCAGTAAAAAAAACATACTAACCTGAATAGCTCAACAAAAAAAGACAAACTGCTATCATCAGCAACATCTCTGCTCTGTAGTGTGTAAACTTTCACAGCAGCCTCAAACAAATCTGACAGAGCCGCCCCAGCATCAAGCACCTGGTCAGATCCTTTAACCAGCTGTGTATAACTAATTAAAAATTCTTTAGCCACCTTCAGTCCATCCCGCGTCTTATTTGTTGAGTCTAGACTTTGAATGGCAGAGGCAAGAAGATACAGCTCATATGCTGGGACCACACTTAGACCTGTCTTGGACTTTATCTCTTTCTCAAATTTCTGTCCAGCTTTGCAGAAGCACCCAAAAAAGTTGGTGGCGACACTGGCAACAAAACTAGGCTGTGACCCTGAACTTTGGATGAAATCAGCCAAATACTCAAGCACAACTATGGCCAAAGATTTATACCATCCTAGTGGAACCTTAAAGAAAAATATAAAAATGTGAGGTTCTATTTAATCAAATACCAACACATTTTTTCACACCTATGACTTAAATATCACTAACCTCTTCTACTTTGAGCAAATGAAAAGTGCAGTGGCCGAGGTAAGTTATAATCTTCTGAAGGCTGAGGCGTTTTGGGTCCAGATCATTTTGTCTCAGTATCAGTGTATGCAGAACCTGTTCCAGCACCTCGTACCATTCAAGTAGTTCTTTATTTGTTGTACAGTTGCTACCACCTTTACCAAAATACAGACAATAACAATATGTTAAAAATGTAAGCACTGCACTATAGTCAAAAAGATTAACATGAGATAAACAGATCAAAACCTAAAGCAGAAAACTACCATTTTAAAACTGCACTAACTATTAAATGTATAGGAATGAGTGGCTCCCTACCTTGTGTGTTCAAAAAGTTGATGCTTTCATTCAAAAACTTTTGAAACTTGAGAGAAACAATGGGCGACTCAGAGTTTTCAGACAGAAGCTTAAGCTCATCTGTTACAGCCTGCATACATTTAATTAAAGTCGTAACAATCACATTTATTATTTCGATATGTTAAACATTCACCAGAATATGAATTGAATGAGCTTCCAAACCATAAAAAATAGATGTACAAAGTAAATAGAACTCATACATAAAACAAACTGCTATGATAACTGAAGTGACAATGACATGCCTAGGTCTAGTGTAACACTTCAAACCAATTGCTTTTCATTGCTCATACTGACTTTAATCAACTAAAAAAATAATTGTTGGTGAATTTGTATCTGATATTTTACTGAGAAATGCTGGGGAAAAATTCTTAATTGTAATATATATGATTACTATTACTAATAGCTTGGGAAATCGATTCTATATTAAAAGATTCAAGCTCTTTGCCAACTCTAAACATTGTCGCCATCATGATTGCCCACTCACGTTTTTTTTTTGTCAGTGGCACTGATGACACCTTTATTTTTCCCCAAACCAGAAAAGTACTTTGGATCAATGGGAATTCTCACATAAGCTTACAGGCCTAATACCCTGTTTTATAACGACAACTATTTGAATTAGGCCTAGATCTATGGGTAATAAAAAATCATAATTATAATAATAAATCATGAACACGTCTATCGACGGATAAATAGGAATTTAAAACAACAAATTGAAAAACCTTTACATTTACAGTCTGCAAGAAAGTTCATTGTAAAATGTAAATCAGGGCAGATCTAATCAAGGTAAAACTCCATTTTAGCGTATTTATTCCCCAAAAAAAAAAAAACATTATAAATAAGCATTACAGGTCCAATTAAATAGCGTGTGATATTCGGCAAGAGAAAAATCCCTACATGATCAAGGGTTCACTGTGAGTTCACATTCACTTTAATTATCAGCATATGTCATAGCTTAGGGTCATTGTGAGTTCAAATAAGTTTGTGAGATACTTTTAACAATACAAACTTAACTGCCTTGCAATCATGAGTTTCTATTTTACCAATTGCCATAAAATTCTTAACTGACAAGAACATATTTTCAAAAGTAAAAACAAAAATAGCGCACATTCAATATCCCAAATTGGGATTCCTCTCAAGTTTTGACAAAATTATATTATCAGAAACTAAAATTCATAAGCCCCCTATAGAAATTAGCCTAGAGATTTTCTAACGTGTGTGTGTGGTCAGATACGCTAAACCGGAGGTGAACGTGAGGCGGGGTATAAAATATGCTTAAATAATGGTGTTTTACCCTATCTAGATAATTTTAGCAGTCTTCTTCACATTTAACCCCCACCCTGCGCATAATAATAAAAATTTTGGCAGATGCTAGCCGGAAAAAGATACGCATGTGCAATGGAGAGAACCTACGACTTGCCATCGCGGCGATGTTTTCTGTGGTATTGCGCATGCGTGTGTTTACAACCGCAGAACCCTAGCCCTAACTAACAGTAATACCAACCCTAACTAACCCTAGCTCTAATGATAATCATATCCCTAACCCTAGCTAGATCTATAGGTCATTGTGCATGCGCAGAGCTATCTTTTGCCGTGGGGAGAAAAATCTTCCGAGTAGTGATGAGTAGTCACTTCGATAAATTTTAGTGGACGTCATAAATTAGCAATACTCACTATTTTTAAATTTCGTTATTTTTCGATTTTTTGATAATAAACTCATTTGGAGCTTAATTACTGATTTTCATTAATTGGCCACTCCCAGCATTGCAAGCCAAACAATCCGTGACAACCATATGCCTATCTGAAGAGGAGAACTCATCAGGGTAGACCTTGCAGCTGATTTGATTTTAGCAGAATATGCACAGTACATTTGATTTTATTACCATATTTCTATTCGTATGGACACTGTCTTCGTCAGAATAAAATCACATGATGGAATTAGATCTAGATCTAGAATTTTTAAATAGGCCCTATTTGATTTAATTTTTTTTAAAATGGAAGGGTGTTTAAAAAGGAAAACTAAAACAAAGTAATGAAAAACATGTTTAAGAATATATAGTATAGATCTAGATCTAGTCTTTTTAAAGATATTCAATCCCGTGCATGTTTTATTAACTAGTGTAAGTGTTTTAGCAATGCTTAATTTATTAGGGCAATTCATAAAATATAGCGTATCATTGTAAAAGGAATCTAACCCTCCTCTCTCACTTGACCTGGGACAGGTGTGTTATTTACAAAATTTTGTCGTTGCTCAGTTTAATGTGTTAAGATTTGTAAGTATTTGATTTATTTTAAAAAAAAATGCAATAGCATTAAAATTGATCAAGTTAGCGAGAAATGCATTCTAACCAGCGTCACGGGCAGTGCGCGTGACAGATATCTCGCTCGCTTAGTTTTGTCGAGGTATAATAAAATATAATAAAATACGCTCAACTGGAGGTAAACGACAAGCAGAGAATAAAATACGCTAAAATAGAGTTTTACCCTAATTTTTATAGGTACATAACAGGATAAAACATCTGACACAGATATAGATCTAGATCTGCGAACGAAACGTCAGGTGGACTGAGAATGCTGAGATTTGAGAAGAATGGAACTGAATTACTTTACTGAGAAGTCCTGTGATTGTGAAACTCTACCAGATTGAGCTAGATCTAGATCTAGAGTCTAGATCTAGAACTAGATCTAAATACTTTACTAAATACTTACTTCAAGTGAATCGAGGTATGGTTTTTTATTCACCATATTTACTTGTATAGATTAGATCTAGATCAATTAATTAAAGTAATTTATAAGAACCAGTGACTCTAAATAAATGAATAAGCGATAGCCAAACACTGACAAGACTTGTCGGACATTTTATAAAACAATTGAAATTGCCGCTGTTACCAGAAGTAAATCCAATTTGCCAGATTGGAAACGAGAACAAATACAAAATTTTTGGCCAAACGATTGTGTCTTATCAAATATTATTTTTAAACAAAACAAAAAACAAACTTAAAAATAAAACATAAACAACCTATATAAAATATAAACAACCTTTATAATAATAAGCTTTTAAATGCACTAGAAGAATGTGTACTCCCCGAACGAAATAGAATTTATATAGAAAATATATACTTTTATTATACCGGTGTCCGTCCCCAGGAAATTTTAGTCCGATACCCCCCCCCCCCCACCCGAAAATTTCAAGTGTCCCCCCCCCCCCCAGAGAAGAAGTTAACATCGCATAGGGTAAGACTAAAAATATTTGTTTTTGAAGCCGATCAGGGGCATTCACTTTCTTTTATGCTGTGATTTAAATAGTAATGTAACGTTCCAACTCAATGTGTGGGGAGAATGTACCTTCCTACCTCCAGTATACTTGGTATTTTTGCTATTGTATATTTTTCAGTTGGAGCTTTACTAGTCTTGGCCCTATAGATAAAACGCACCAGTTCAGCAAGGGGATAGAGAATCAAAAGATGTGGGTCTACTTATAATTTTAAGCAACTTCAATGAAGGAGAAATACGTCCACTGAAGAATGGATGTTGCTGGTTTTTACTACAGTTCTAAAAGCTATCAGCCAGGGGAGAAACAGCTTCAGTAGATTTTAAATCAGATTTCATTTTTAAATAATTGATGGTGTTATTTAGGCTATTAAAGTAAACAAGTGACACAAGCTAATAGACTTAAACATGCTATCCACACAGCATGAGATATCACTTAAATATATGACACATGTTTCTAATTATAGGTTGATACTTTTAATTATAAAACTTTCCTTTATTAAACATTAAATGGTGATCTTTACTCCACCAATAAAAAATCATTTCAATTATTAAATTATTTGTTCAACAATAATTGTAAATTAAATTATATCAATTCTATGATAACATACACATAACATGGATGAAATATCATGAATAATGACAACATTTAGATACAATTTTAGTAAACTAAAATCAGCTCAGCATTGAAGTTCTGGCTGACGTCACGATGACGTCACGCGACGCGTTTTTGGAGCTAAAAAGGGCCGAAAAAGCCATTTTTTTTACGTGTAGTTCGGATTTTTTTACGTTTTTTAAAATGGGCCCGAAAATGACACTTTTTAAAATTGGACTTAACCATTTTTTCAAACAATTTTTTCGAAAAAATGCCGTTTTGGGTGATTTTTGGATGTAAACAACGGCCTAGGTCAGCACGTGTCAAACCACGTGAAGGCACCCAATCGACGATTTCGGTCACGCATGAGTGGTTGTCATACGTTCTCGTGAACTAAATACCAGTTTCTTGACAACAAAATGGAAAACGACAATTTCGTGAAAATAACGACCCTAGAGGAATGGCTTTTGAAGATTATTAAATAAAAATCGGTGTATTGGCCTTATGTATTGATTCTAAAGTTGTCTATATTTGACTAGTAGGGCATGCTGAAACAACGGCCTGAGGGCGCCGTGGGATGATATTTAGAATCGACCCTTTGAATCCCGGACAGATCGTCCCCCAGCGTGGCCTCAACCAACCGGCGGGCTCGTTGCATTGAGTTAAATATAAACTCAAAACAATAATATAAACAATCTCCTTTCGGTCGGTCAGGCCACATACCACGCACGCATAGTGTTGTGTGTCGTGCCTTAACCAAAATAAACTATCCCCCTTCATTATCATTAGACCTAATTAATTAATTAATTTGCTAATTATAAAATTATGTACGATGCTATAGAAGTAGGTAAGTATAATTTTTTACTATGTATTTGTACTATTAAACATATTAAAGAACATCGTTGTTTCAACACCACCCGCTCCCCTTCTTGAACTCGAAGTTAAACTTTGAACCCCGTTTGTAAAGACTAGCGGTATGCTGTAAGGCGGCTGGTGGGTAGGGTAAAAAAAAAAATCCACCGTGGTGCGTGTTATTGGCCTTGGGCCTTGGGTGACCGTTGTTGGCACTTGCTGTGAGGGGGAGAGGGGGGTGTGTTATACTCATTGAAAAAAAAATGCACCGTGGTATTGGTCTATGATGACGTCGGCGCAAGCGTGAAGGGGGGGGGGGACGTTTTTTTTTTTAAAACCAAGAACTAGGCGTTTCGAGGCAGTAATGAAAATCAAAGACTGGTATAGCCATGATGTCGAATTTAACGAGTGATGCTTGCTGGGTCTATCATACGATTGCTTGGCGATGGGAGTCTCGTCAAGCTCAGTTTACATTATTAACAGTAAACTATTGGGATGCTGTCATGCACAGCTACCGAATGTAGCACTTAAAACATCGAGTGCATCCCGCTCTTTGAAATACAAGTTATGGATA